CTCTCCAGCCTGTCCAGGGCCCAGGTGGCTGTGAACAGGAACTTCTAGGGGTTTGGTGCCTTCACTGCACATTGGGTAGGTACCTGCCTGGTTTCTGTTGCAGCTTTGTCAGGGCTTACACCACACTCTGAAATCTGTAATTCTCTCAAACTAAAAAATCCTGATTAAATAATGCTTCCTGTGAAGGTTTCCAGGCAATCTGTGGCTTGGAATCCTATGGCTTGAGAGGTTAGAGCATTGTGTCTAAGATAAGCAATACAAAACCAATTATAATAAAAATGCTTTCTTATTTATACCTTACAGGAGTGTTTTTTGAGAAAGGAATTTTACAAGTTGAGTTGTAATTCAGTTGAAGTGCAGTTTTGCATAAATCATCTAAATATGTGAGCTTTTTCATAGTGAAAAAAGCGTATTGTGTTTACTGCCCTTGTAATGACTATGATAATGGATATTCTCTTCTAATATGTTTTGCCTTCTTTTTGCTTAGGGTGATATGGGATTACCAGGAGCAAAGGGAGCTGTAAGTATAATGAATAGCACTGTTCCAGGAATAGAGCTCTAGTAGATGAGATAGGTGATTTTCTGATTTAAGAAGGAAAATACAAATAAGGAGCTGAGCTCTTTATCACACTTAAATTGAACGAGTTCAAACAGCACTTCTTGTTTGAATTTTGAATAGAGTTAATATTAAAATGAATTAACTTTGGACAGGAGTTCACATCCTGAATTCTAAGCTCCATAAAAGAGAAACATTATTCAACAGCAGTTTTCTGGCCAACTGATTTTATTTTTTTTTTTTTAGAGGGAATGAATGCACTCTTTGTACAGTGGGTGTTGTGTAGAAAGGAGGCTCAGCACAGTGCCTGCGTGTCGCCTCTAATCTTTACACTCGGAAAAAGCTGGCAGCAGGACTGTGATGTCTGTGAAAGCAGAAGTATTTTCTGGCCTTTTTTTTTTTTTTTTTTCAGAGCTAACAAAGCGATAGCTTTGATGTGGAAGGTGAGCAGAAGCTTGTGTGTCACAGAAAAAGCTTTTATGAGCTGAACACACATTATTTTATTTCGGCATCACTGGAGAGTAGGATTGTTACAGCAGCTGACAGTTGTGGCCACAATACTAACATATCAACAGTTCTGCCTGCGGGGAACTGAGCACTGGAACAGGCTGCCCAGAGAGGTGGTGGGGTCTCCTTCCCCGGAGACTTTCCAAAGCCGCCTGGACTTGTTCCTGTGTGATCTGCTCTGGGGGATCCTGCTCTGGCAGGGGGGTTGGACTAGATGATCTCTAGAGGTCCCTCCAACCCCTTCCACTCTGTGAACTGAGGCTGAATGTAACAGAGAGCTATACTTGTGTTCTCAGCACCCTGGGTGACTTTGGGGCTATGCCAATGGACGCTAGAGAGCGTTTACTGCTGATCGAGATCTTACAAGAAGGACATGAGGAAGAGAGACAGGAGAAATCTGTAGTTTTACCCCCGTAGATTTTGAATATCTTCTCTTGATGACACTCATCCTTGGATGAGTGATCTATCAGGGAACCTGATAACTCACCAGAATGGGCAAGAAAGAAATGATGGCTTCCTGGTTGTATAGCCCACGAAGGGAAGTTTTTGCTGTTGTCTTAAAATATCTGTGGAAGCGTGTCCTTTGGGTATTCTGACAGGGACAGCAGTTAGCTGGCTGAGACGCAGCACAGATGGAAGTGAAATGGTTCCATCTTGTGGATTTAACTGGTAGCACAGTTGAGTAATTTGCCATGTTTTTCAGCAGGTATTGTGTGGTTTGTTTTTTTTTTTTCTCCAGTAGATTTGGGAAGCCATTAAGTATGTAGGATTTTTTTTGCTGTTTGCTTTGGTTTGGGGGTTGGGTTTTGTTGATTTTTGGTATGTTTTTTAAATTATTTTTGAGGGGAGTATTGTTTGGTTTTTGGTTGGTGGGTTTTTTTGTTAGTACTACTGTTGATTAATAGTAGTAGGAAAACTTGTATTGAAAGTAACTCGGAGGAGCCTATTGGCATACCCTCTATGAAAGGGCATGAAAGGCATTTGGAAGAAGTCGGGAGCTGGAATTTGTGTAAGGATCACGTCACACCAGGAAAAGTTGTGTGTGACATGCACAAGGGCAGAAGTAGAAAGCAAGTATGGGAGATGAGTTCTTTGACAAAAAGACTAGTCTTGTGCATGTCACTATGGATGTCCATTTGCATCTTTTGACAGAATATCTTATTTTTCCACTTCTCCCCTTTAAGGGAAGAATACAGACCTCTTTTCACTTTATAAATCCCACAACCACAGACCCCAGTTGCTTATTTAAAAGAAGCTGTTCAGCAACTACATCGCAGCGTTAATTGCTTTGCCTCTGCAAATAGCTCCTGTCACCATTTTGGTATGTCAGGACACCAGTATAGTAGCCTGTTGAAAATCTTCTCTTTCCTTGTCAGGTTGGTAATCCTGGAGATCCTGGTTCCCGGGGGCCTGAGGGAAGTCGGGGACTGCCTGGCATGGAAGGGCCACGAGGCTCACCTGGACCACGGGGCTTGCAGGGTGAACAGGGTGCCCCAGGTCTGCCTGGCAGCCAAGGTCCAGCTGTAAGTACTGTTTTAATGTGATGTGTGTCTTTTGAACGCTTAGCTGTCACTCCCACCGCTCCTTCTCTTGCATCAGGCGCTATGTACGCACGCAAAACCCAGCTGCCACGGTAGGGTTTGAAATACACTGCCCCTCCCGACAGACACGTTTGCTCACCAGAGAAATCTTAGGGTTGTACAGTTTGATGCTTGGGTCCTCAGCTTTCTGTTCAGTCCTGCTTTCTCACGCCTGCCCCACTCCTGTAGTAACACGTGGGTCTATCTCACACAGTACCTACCTGGCTGCTCAACTGGAATTTAGCTGGAATGGTTGAACTTGGAGGGACTGGCACATCTTTTATTTGCCCGACAGCATTTTTTGCATCGGGCACGCTTATCAAATGTACTGTGATAACAGCTGGGTTTTTAAACAATGTGGGTTTTTTTTTTTTTAATCCTAGGGAAAAGAACCAACTGATCAGCACATTAAGCAAGTTTGCATGAGAGTCATGCAAGGTAAATATGCTAAAAAGTCTTTGTTTCTTGTGTATTTACATCAGGATAATCTACTGCTGTGGAGGCAACCAAGATTTTCCCACTCTTATCCAGAACAAATATCGTGGCCTCAGCAGGGCACCTGGCAGAAAACATTCCCACATGGGAACGTGGGCACAATATGAGAGAATATGAGAAAGAAGTCCCTTATTTTATATATACTTTGCAGCCTCATCGAACTGCTTGTGATTCCACACTATTACTGTAGTAACCAGGCGACAGACCGGAGTGTTTTTCTGAAACACATATATTTTGTGTAGAAATGACTTGCTGTGTTTACATATATAAAAGCACACAGCTTCACTAAAAGCTTCTTTTGCCATTTGTACGCATACACCATCAGATTACAGCAAACAAACTATGTGCAAAATAGGTTAAAAATAAAAAAGAGGAGTGCAGAGAGAGGCTTTCTGTTGGTAACATACCGTAAAGTGAGAGCAATAGGCAGATGTTCAAAACCTTGATGATACTTGCGTGATCCTCCTTGACACACACAGGAATCTGGAGCTTTTCTATTGAGTTGGGTGCATGGGATTTACTGAGTTTAAAGACTTATGCTGCCCTGTAAGCACAGAAGAGACTTTTTAATACTTGCTATTGAAGATGCCCTTTGGGATATTCTGCCTCTGTAATGTTAAGAGTTTACCAGAATGACATTGCTGCTCATGATTTCATCTAGAAATTCTCAGTAGACATCACTGTTCTTCATACTGCCCCACAGGCTGTTTTTTGTTTTTAACTTTCTATAAATAGGAATAAAAGGCCTTTTAAAGTGGTCTCTTGAAAGACACAGTAATATTGAGGAGGATTATAGTGAAATCAGATATGATGCGTGAATTTATTTACAATCATTAAATCAATCCAAGTGTGTCTCTGGAACCCTGTCAGCTTACAGACAACCTATTGCTATCCCCAGTCTTCCTCATGTATCTACTAGCCAGAATTCCTGTTTTATTTCAGATCCTTTACACCTCTACACCTCCCACCCCCATTTTCTTAGTATTTCTTGGTTGGAGACATAAAATGATTAGTTGTCGTGGTTTAATCCCAGCCAACAGCTAAGTACCACGCAGTCGCTCTCTTGCCAAGTCATGCAGACTTTATAGCAAATGTCCTGTGGAGCTCTGTGTGACTGTATCCAAAGTTATTTCTAAGGCATTCTTGGAAGATAAGATTTGAAGTCTAAAACAGAAACATTAAGGAAAGAGAGGGCTGCTCTCATGCTGTTACAGCAGTGGCCTGAAAGGGGGATGAGGAAAAGGGAATAGCTAGTTTAGACCATTCCAAGGAATAGCAAGCTGATCCTATGCCTAATGAAGAGCAAAGCTCCTGCTGATTTACCTTAAGAAAAGATCAACATAAAATGTTCGGTTATTTATGAAACATGAGCTCACAAGCACCAATTTTAGGGTTTCTTTCCTCTGAAAAAGAAGGTCTGCACTCGCTTTGCAGCCAGCGTAGAGACTGCCTTCACGCTTTTCAGTTGTCCCTTCTGCAAAGATGGGTCGTAATAAGGATTAACGAGCAGTAACTTGCTCTTTTAGGAGGCAGCAATTGCATAAGTAAGTTTTCTGACTACATGGTTGAAATGTAAATGACACAGAAAACGATAAGGACGTTTCTAAAACCATACATTCAAGTAATTTCAGCTTTCAAACATTAAATGTTTAAGATGTAGGCTCCAGAGTGATGAGCTTCACAGCGTGCCTCTGCAGTTTCCCTCTAGCAGTACTAAGATAGTATCTCCTACGTTACAAACTTTGTGAAAAGCACTGTTTGTAAGGAAGGTGCTGTACTGTAGCCTGTTGGTTTCTGTAGCGGAGAATACATGCTCTTCAGTGAACATGGGAATCTCCATTCAGAGCCACTTACTGCTTAATTCTGTCCCCTTTGTTGCAGAACAACTAGCTCAGCTGGCAGCCAGTCTGAGGAGGCCAGAATTTGGGGCTCCAGGTCTTCCTGGCCGACCGGGGCCACCAGGTGCTCCAGGGCCTGCTGGTGAGAATGGCTTCCCAGGACAGCTTGGACCTCGTGGCTTGCCTGGCCTTAAAGGTCCCCCTGGGGAGATTGGTCGTAAAGGTCCTAAAGGTAAGAAATCCTGTAACTGGCTTTTGGTTGTTGACTGCTCCGGGGTTTTTGCTGTTGGGCTGTTTGGTATTTTTTCCTTTGGTTGCAGATGTAGGTGGGTATAGTACTTGAGCCATTTTACGGCACCACCACGTACCAGTGTGTTGATTCTTCAGCAAGAACAAATCCATAGCAAATTTGACTTATACTTTACAAAAACCCTTTGACCTCAGTGAATCTCTTCTGTTCCCGACGGAGAGGGTGTCTACTCCTCCAAAGGATTACACAGTAGAATTTTCTGCCAAGTCTTATGACCACTCTATATGTATTGGTTCCTATTCAGCAGCCGTTTCACTTCATTATCTTGAAGAAAGGTTTTATTTAAAAATTGTATTTCTGCACAAAGCTGGTCTGTCACTGGATTAGAGCATCTACTTTTGTCTCAAGTTTTATTTGAAAGTAAAATGGGGAAAACCTTTGAGAGAAGGAACAGAATACAGACGAAGCAAACCCTAGCAGCATTGTTGCTGGAGCTCCCTTGCTCTTCTCATTTAAGGTAACGTCATCTGTATTGGCAGAAGCCACAAAAAAAATGGAGATTCAAAGGTGATCTAATAGGCTCAATTTGATTCAGCACACAGCAGGCTGTACTGTGTTAATATATATAAAAAAAAAAATAATCTACAGAGCATTAAGAACCACCCAAACAAACAAAATGCTTTGTTTCCTTCCATCATTGTCCTCAAATTCCAAGTTACCTTATAATAAACCTTGAAAAACAGATACAAAAGAAGGGGTGAATGCTCTCATGTGCAAGAGCCATCGTGGTGGTACATGGCAGGCACCCTGAAAACAGTCACAGTCCTTCACTCCCAAGTTCCCGGTAGTTATTGGAGCTCTGAGAGGTCACAGGGATGAACTGGCTTTCCCCCTCCATGTGGGGAGCTGTCTGAGATGGGAGTGAGAGGAAAAGGGTTACCTGGGATGTGATAAAAGGGGAAACGATGTTGAGGATGGTTTAGAAGGGCATCATAAAGAAGAGAGAGAACCACAAGAAGGTGTTCCGTGAGACAGAGCAGAAGATACAAAGGTGCAGTGATTTTAACAGCAGCAACAACAGCAGAGACAGAAAGAGCTGCCTCCAGAAAGGAGGTGATAGTGGTTTTAGTGAGGAATCTGGATAGTGATGGAGGGCAGAATCAGAAAGAAGACGTTAGAGAAGCTTGGGGTATCCAGCAGTAAACGCTATTCCAGAGTTTTCCGTAGCTGGACACAGCAGAAGTATCTATGGGTAACCGGGCATCGGTGCTTCTGCTAGCTGCACTTACAGAGACAGGCTGAATCTCCATGTTGCCTTGTCAGTCTGAAGCCTAGAGAGAAAATTCCTCCCCTAGCACCCTGTGTCCATCTTTTATTGAAACCTGGGCTTTTGCACTGACTCCCGTGGTCCTTCACATAGCTTCCTCGTTTTCTGTTGTGCCATTCCTCGGCAAGCCCCCGGCTTACCAGTCTATTCCAGCTCTCAAGTCTCCATAGCACCAGTATCCGAGAACAAAGGCGTTTGTTTTCTGAGCTCGTGTGGATGTCAGCAGAACACGGTAACCTGGGCAAGCCAGCTTCTCTGGTCTTCTCTGCACTAGCACTTGAGAATTTTGACTTATTAGGGGAGTTCACTTGGTCTGGTGAAAGCCACGTGCCGGTACCCGCAGCCTGCATTCCAAAACAGCCCGTGCAGTTCTGCGAGCTTGGTTTATTGCTGTTACACGGGCTGTGGCATATTTCACAGGTTATTTACTGTCCAGCCCCAGGGGGCTGGTGGGTTTTTTCCCCTCCAGTATGTCTAGTTCTGACTATATCTCAGATGGGGGGGAACAAACCCAACAAATCCCAAACCTCTTACAAGGACATAGGTCAGGACATCGCTGAAAGCTGCTAAGAATACATATACAGCCACCTGAGCTCTCTGCCTGTTAGCTGTTCACCTCTGAGAAGGATCTTACTGACAGGGATGCTACATGTAACTAATGCTTCGTGAATTTGCTTTAGGTGAACCTGGAGAAAGAGGAGAAAGAGGATTTCCAGGCAGAGGGCTGAAAGGTTACCCTGGACCACGAGGTCTTCCAGGTAAATATAAAAGGGTGAGGGTAAAGAAGAGATGTGGTAAAAATGTACCCAGAGCTGATCCCTCAAGCTGCCTTGAAAAGACAAAAGGTGTCCATCAAGCACTAAACTGCCACATAATAGTACTGCACAGTTTTTACTTCATGGGTGACAACAGTCACAAATCAGAATTAAAAGCTCTTTTACTGAAGAGCTCCCGCTCCATTTAGCTCAGTGTAGAAAGATAAGGAAAATCTTTCTTTTTAATATAAATATATATATATGGCGTAAACAAAAAAGGCCACAAACCTCAGATTATCTCACTGGCAGTTAGAGCACTCTTCAAAATCTCCCTTCATCGTTTAGGACATTCGAAGTACAATTCTCCTTTACTTTTGTGGTAATTAATTGGGGTGTTACCTGACGTGGGCTCAGGACAGCTTCTTGCTGATAAGTGCCGCACAGCTGGCCTCTAGTGGCCAGTGAATGAAATTAAACACCTTCTTGC